CGCAACGACTCCTTCACGGACTTCAGCCAGCAGTACGAGATCGAGACGGACCCGGCGCTCACCTACGTGGAGGGCGTCTGCGTGCTGTGGTTCACCTTCGAGTTCCTGGTGCGCGTCACCTTCAGCCCGGACAAGCTGGAGTTCGTCAAGAGCATCCTGAACATCATAGACTTCGTGGCCATTCTGCCCTTTTACCTGGAGGTGGGCTTGAGCGGACTCTCCTCCAAAGCCGCCAAAGACGTCTTGGGGTTTTTGCGCGTTGTCCGCTTCGTGCGCATCTTGAGGATCTTCAAGCTGACGCGGCACTTCGTCGGTCTACGCGTATTGGGACACACCCTCCGGGCGAGCACTAACGAATTCCTGCTGCTCATCATCTTCCTAGCATTGGGCGTCCTCATCTTCGCCACCATGATCTACTATGCCGAGCGGATCGGAGCCAGCCCCAACGACCCAACGGCCAGCCACCACACCATGTTCAAAAACATCCCCATCGGCTTCTGGTGGGCCGTGGTCACCATGACCACTCTGGGCTACGGAGACATGTACCCTCAGACGTGGTCGGGCATGCTGGTCGGCGCGCTCTGCGCCCTCGCCGGAGTGCTGACCATAGCCATGCCCGTGCCCGTCATCGTCAATAACTTCGGCATGTATTACTCGCTCGCCATGGCCAAACAGAAGCTCCCTAAGAAGAGGAAGAAGCACATCCCTCAGACGGCGCAGACCGGCTCGCCGTCCTACTGCAAGACGGACCTGAGCACGGCCTGCAACAGCACTCAGGGAGAGCTGTGTTTGGGACAGAGCCGAGGACTGGAGTGCCACCGCTCAGGTGAGAGACGCTCGCCTGCTTCACATGCTAAAAGACGGAGTGTGATGCTTTTTTGGGTGTTCAGGGACTCTGGATGCTGGGGGTATGATGAAAAGCTTGAATTGTAAAAAATACTGTCATAAACATCTAATTTAGGCTTTTATTGACATATAAACACGCATATATAGAGCATAGACGCTAGGGCTGATTCTGAGAGCTTCCGAATGCTTCGCGATTCTCTCTGGAGTCGATTCTGAGCTTAGATTTTAACAGCAGATGGCGCTCTAATCTA